AACAGGTAGATTGAGTCTCTTTGACTTTTGGACTTCCAGGATTATAGGAAAAACTGAGTTGAACTGAGTTGGTTTCTGTGAATATAGAACACCAGGCCTGATTTTTGGCCTGATTGGGCATTATACACTGTCTGATTTCAGGTTACAGGGATTCTGGGTTTCTGGGTCTGTAGAGCTTATGCTTGTTTTGGAAACTTTTATATTGGATGTAAGGCAATTTGTTGTTTAGCTATTGTTATAATAAATAACTTCAACTGAAGCCTGTCCGCTATGAACTAGAAAACTTGTCCGATGCCCTAATTGAAATTTCTGATGATACCATCTGTACTTGAACTATGCGGCAACATTGCCCGTTCAAATGCAAAAGTTCTTGTAATGGCCTTCCGATTTGTTTTTTACGACTAATTTTCATGGGTCTATACATTATTTTAAAACTAACCGGTTTAAGTAACTAGAAGGGAGTCTCTCACTGGAAAATGGAAGTTTGCAAAACCTATGGTTAAAACAAAATATTTTATTTTGTAAATACACACTTTTCATATTTAGATTTGGTGATAATAGCCATTAAAGCGCACAGATGATTTTAGATTGGTAAATAAAAAACTCTTTATTCGAATTAGGACTAAAACATGATCCACCTGTTGTGTACAAATCTCCTGCAAACAGCAGGTCTTCAGGGAGGTTTCAATCAGTGTGTTTGTACATGAACAAGCCAAGAAATACAGGAAGCGGCATAATGGGAAGGTGAATTAGATGCCTCTGCTCCAAGTTCAATTTTCAAAAATGAGGAACTCAGCATCTCTTCATTGAAATAAGGCAGGATTTTACATGATTATCTCTTCTAAAATATCATTACATAAAAATGATATTTAAAAATAAAAATTCTGAAATATCATTACATGTCACCAATGGCCACTTATAGTATTCAGTATTGACTCAGCTGTTTTAGTTATTCATTAAATATTTATAAATGAATCCACTACTACAAACCTTCTGTAGAACAACCTAGCTTATTAGAAAGGAGATTCCATTTCTTCCTAA